CCCCTTCCTTCTCACTCTCACTTTTTGCCTCTCCCTTTTTGTCTGCTGCAGGACCCCTTAAAAATAAACAGGAATATTAGAGCAAGATTCACTGTACCTCAGGGTCCTCAGGATGCTTCTGTCTTACTTGTCCTATTCTTGTCTATCTTCAGTAGCCCGACCCAAAATCCAGCTGGTCATCATATGGGACCTGAAGGAATCTACAAACTGTGCCTTGCCTTCATGGCAATAAACTAGTCTCATAATTTTGTCCAGGGAACCAGTGACAAAAACTGCACATCTCACTATCACACAGCATCAGAGGAACTCAAAGGTAACTCGTATACCAAAACCCCACAATGGGATGGGATAGAGTCACACGAAGAGGGAGACTAGTGCTTTCACTTCCCCTTTCTTTGTCTGCACATGGATTTCTGTCCTTCCCGCGGGCTCTCCTTACAGCATGCTCAGTGCTGATCTCCAAGGCAGCAAACATGACAACTGAGGGTGTGTCTATAGCAAGCAAGGAAACCATTGCAGGGGCACAGACTGTGTGACATGTTTCGTTGTCTCGCCTGTACTTACAACCACTCTGTGCTCGATGGAACTGTTTTGGCACATGTACACTTTGGCTCTAATTCAAAGCAGCTGGAAAGCCAGTTTAACCAGGCTGCTCAAGATTTTGATTACAGAGGGAAAGCCTTTAGATGGTGCAAAGTTAGAGCCGGTTCTAGATAAATGTTAGCCTCCTATGGCTTATGAAAATTGGTGAGAGAAGGGTACAGGAATCTCGGTTCTTGTGCTACGGTGTTCTGGTTGCCAGGAAGCCCCTTAGAGCCAGGACGGCATAATGTAATGGAACAGACTGAAGTTCCACTGGGCAATTCGACTGTTGCTGGGACAGGTCAGGATTGTAGGGAGTGGGAGGGAGACGAGTTGTCTTGGTCTGGGATCTGGCTTTCTGTTCTTCACAGCTGTGGTTGTACCGGTACAGTCAGAGTCTCCCAAAGCATCAACTCTACCGTGTCCATTTTGCTATTGGGACTGGGGCTTGTGAGTAACTTCTAAACACAAGGCATAATATTACGGGGTGGAGATAGGACCACCAAAAGGACTGGCACAGCTGCAATGCTTGTGGTTTCCTGTCCATACTGAGTAGTAACTGTTTGTTGACCTCACTTGGCCCAGATCCACCACACATTTTTAGGTGCATGACTCTCATTGACTTTGATGGAAAGTAGGAGTTAGGTGCTTAAATTCCTTTGTGTATCTCAGGTATCCAGGTTGTAGCTACAATGGACTAGAGGTAAAGTCAATCAGGACTCATAGTAGATATCTTTTATTAGACCAACAAGATTTTTGTAAATCTTGTGTATCTCAGCTCTTATGCCATGGCAAAGGCCTTTTTGCCTGTTTTAAAGAGTGTCTGAGTGTGAGAAAGAGTGGTTACAATTACTTTTCCAATCCTACATATAGTAATGTCCTGCCAGCTCCTGTGTTGGCTTCTCAGGACCTTCTAAAGTTTCTACTTGCAGTAGCTCTTCTGCACTGTTGCTGCAGCAGGAAGCAGTACAGCTCTGAATGTCAAGGCAACAGTAAACCACTGGTTGACATAACAGCAAGGAAACTTCCATATGGTGAAGATATAAGCAGACACAGAATGAGGGGGACTGACAAACAAGCCTATTTTTGCCAAAGTGAAACTGTCTTATATTAGAGGTTCTGATGATTTATTTTAAGTTCCAGGTACTAGAAAAGACATAAGCCAAGCTCAAGCTGTTAAATGATCAAGCATTCTCTTGTTTAATGCTACTCTTAAGAAAACAAAACTCTCCTGCAGCTAGGTTCAGTGTTCAGAGCCCTCGGAGCAGTCCTGTGTGCTGTGACTTCCTTCAAATGTGTAAATCCCGCAGCCAGCTGTGTAGCACCCCCTCCCCCCAGCTCAAACATGTAGAGAAGATTGTGTTCTAGACTCACTTGTTCAAGATTTCACTTCTAGCCTCACTGGTCAGATGTTTAGGGTGTAGATTCCACTGACAGCGCAGTTCCAAATGGTTAGATGATTCCTACTGCCCTAAAATAAACTGCAGCATGATCCCTGCTGGCAACTGGATAAGTCTACATCCAAAGAGACTGGAGCTGAGTTCTCATGGTGCTATGGTCTGACTCTTATCACATTGGGAAAAGAATAAAACTGGATTCCCACATGATTAGTGCATGTAGATTCAAGGAGTCTGAAGCCTGATTTACAAAGGATAAAGCATGAGCTTTGCTGCCTCAACAAGAAGTTTGCAGTCCACTTGCTATTGCTGATAGTTATGTTGTTTTCAGCAATTAAATTTCCTCCTAAATATGTTTGTCCAGGTAGGTCTGCTGAATAGGTCTGCTGAGCTATTCTAAGGAAAGAAGGAATTATAGGACAGTTGTCCTCTGCCACTTGTCTAGCAGAGAACTGGCATTTTATCATATGAACAGAAGTGGTGGTGTTGTAGTCATTTTGTTACATTGTACTACACTGAAGGTGACATTAAAGGGCAGAATTCACCACTTGCAGTGAGTGCTTTCTATCTCTGTTTGGAATAGGAGACTTTGAGGTACACAGTAGCAAGTGTGTCTGCTGTGACTCCCCTAGTAACATACAATACTAAAAAATGGGAAAATCTCAGTACAAGACTCCAAACCAGAAAGGCAGAATTCAGGACCCCACTTTTAGATAACAGCAGTGGCAGCAATATTTAATTTTAATTTACTTGAGAGAATGAGGCCACAGCTTCATGCTAGATAATCAGATTTGAAGTCTTGGCTGCCTACGGACAAAGCTATCACATTATTTCCAAGTGTGGGGGTGTTATGCCATCTTGTCTATTAGCAGTTGCAGAATGCATATGTTAGATGTGTTTGCAGCTGCAGTCAAGCTAGGACTGTCCAAGGTGACTGTGAACACACCAGTGTGCTGGATAAGTGGACAAGCACTGTTCATATGATCAGTCAAAATGCACAACACTACTGACTCAAAGAAAGAAAACTCACCAACCCTGGTTGAGCAGTTCATTAACCCTGGGTATCTTACCTATTTGCTGCCAGTAGATGTCATTGAGCTTGGACAGCTGAGAAGTGCCCAGAGAAACTCTCATCATCATGACGCAGAAGCATTTCACAGTGGTATTGCCAAGAGAAGATAAATCAGCGAGCAGATTCTATAGAAGAGCGCTTAACTTTGCCAGAGTCTAAAAACAGGCATACCCCCAGGTCAGGCATTAATAGCAAGCTGTTAGCCTCACAGGGACATTTTTGGCTTCTGGCCTATATCTGACAAGAGATTAATGTATTCCAACATGTCATGTGAACTGCTTCTCACTTTTCAGCTACTCTAGCCCTACATGCTAATGAACTTGCAGCCTGGGGACAGGAAAAGAACGAGAAATTGAATATTTATTCAGCGTGGCCGTACCATCTCTTAGCTCCCACCGTACTTTGCATCCCATTCTGTGCATAGGGTGACCCATCCTATAACAGGAGCCCTTCAGCAAAAGTAGAGAAGCATGAGAAATCAAGTGAAATCAGGAAGCCTCCTTTTTTAACTGCTTCCAGATTTCTCACAACATTGCTATCCTTCCCTGCTAGACACATAAGCAACAAGAGGCAAGTGACAGAGGCACTTGAGCACACAGGCAATCCTCTTGGCTGTGCTTGTGAAAGCCTGACATGGGCCCACATAGCCACTGTTTTTGCTGGCATGGAACAATCCTACCAGCAGAGCCCTGAAAAGTGCATATTTTGTCTCATTAATAAAGCAAACATTGGTTTGCCTTGGAATCATTATGCACAAGTGCACACACATGGGAAGTTTATCATACAGCAAATAGCCTGGACTGATCTTTATGCAAAAGCCTGTCCTCATTAAAACTTTTACCTCTCTCCACAGTTCTACCTCTGCCCTCATCTTCCCCTGAGACTCCTTCTCTCTTCCTTATTCCTTGTTCACTTCTGGTTACTTCTTAGGTACTCCTAACAAAATTATCTACTTTCAGTTCACCACATATGCCTTGAGTAGTCTCTCAAGTTGTTTCCTTAAAAAAAAACCTGCTGGTCCCATCTACTCCCCAAACCTCTCCAGATCAAATGTCCTCACATCACTCTCTAGAGTTTTATTTCACTAGCATGACACTTGGTGCCTTGACAAGCTGGATGAAGTATGGACGAAGCTGTTTGGCAGGTCCCACTGCCTGGCACACCAGAGACATTTTATTAGAATGATAGTCAGGCTCTCTTGCTAGACTTTCAAGCAGTCTCCAGACTTGGATAGAGAGACAATTTCATGGCCTACTCCTGGTATTAATAATATATTCCTGTCTCTCCTTTCCAGACAATAAATTTGACATTCACACTAGTGACAATGCTTACTGGGCCTGACTGCAGTTCTACCACAGGCAGCTGAATCATGCAATGCAAGAGAAAGCAAGGAAAGCAAGATGGGAGGAATAGATGCATCAAAGGGAAGGTGAGGGGTCAAAGGTCCAAGAAATTTGGGTATTAGGAGAGGACTATCCTGAATTAGAGAGGATGGATAAAGGTGAAAAAGCTACAGAAAGTATGACATAAGAGAGCAATTTGACTACAGCATCCTGGCTTCCCTCAAGCTGAGAGAGCAGGAAGGTCAAAAGATCAAAACGAGCTTCTAAACATGTAATGCAGAAAAAGAAGATTTCAGGGGCAAAGGTGTTTTGTGGGGGTAATGATGACGTGCCTCCAAAATGTGGGGGATAATAATGATATCCTTTCCACCACTGCTCTTGATGGAAAACATCTCAGGCAGCCTATCTAAGTACTGGTGAGCATGAAATGGCTGCTATGCGTGCCCACATAACCCCTTGCCTACCAGTAAATTTCTCTAGGAAACAGTCGGTGTGAAATGTGAAAGTGCCACACAAAAAATCACATTTGCTTGTAGTACATGGCAGCCTGATTGGAAACAGTGGAGGAAAGAACATGTAAAAAGAAAAAATGGAGAAAAACACAAATCTATTTCCAATAAATTTAATAAATATGGTCAGCTATGCATGCAACACTACAGCAATAAGAGCAGGACAGTCAGAGAATATAGGCCTTTTGCTGACAGACAAGTAGAAGTCAAATTGAGAGTCAACTAAGGTGGCTTACAGATGGGTACTGAAAGGTTTGTCAGTTGGGGCTCAGCACTGTGCTGGAAAAACTTGTTTCAGCGTGAACATGAGGAAGACTATCTTCTCACATTGCAATTTAGTGCCAAACTCAAAGAGGCAGCAGAACAAGGGTGAGCCATCTGGACCCTGGCCCAGGTACTGCATATCTGAGTAAGCACATAAACCCTTACAGATGATGCTGGGTTCTGTCCAGGTTGCTGGATCTAAGGGACACTTGTTGAGATACACTCCTAAGTCTCTCCGTCCAGTGGGGTCTGTTGGATGAGTATAGAGAACCCAGCTGTCTTGACACCCTGACTTCCCATCAGTGGGACACGGAAAGGCTATAACACTCCCGTGACAGCCATGGGGTGGTTCCACCAGCTTTGCTATCTGCTGACCACTTTCAAAATCTACCCCATGGTTGTAGCTCACAGCCTGGACTCTGGCACCTCGGCTGCTTCTAGCATTGCAGTACAGCACTCTCTCTCCACTGATGTGCACTTCTGTGACCTGGCACTCCACTGCACTCTCCTTCTCCACAAAATTCCCCCGTGTCCAGGTCTTCCCATGGTCAGAACTGACAAAGCAGAAGGCGTGGGGGGAGGGTGTTTTCCCAGGGTCAAGTATTTGATAGGCATAGGCAGGAATCACTAGGTTTTGCGACTTGTTGGACAACTGCAGACCGTGGCCAGGTCCCACTGCAAAAGTGGCCCACTCCTTGTGTGTGGTGTTAATCACAGAGTTAGTAAGATCCTTGGCTGAGCTCCAGGTGCATCCACTGTCAGTGCTCGTGACATGGCACAAGCGTACCAGGTTGATTTTTGTCTTGATCTGGTGCATTTCAGAGATCTTTCCTGGGATGGCTATAAAGAACAGGAAAAGGGCCCCAGTAACCTTATCATACACTGGACATGGGTTCATGGATCGGTGCCCCTCCAGCTGAGCACTGAGAATGGTCTCCATTTTGTTCCACTGCCATGTGTGAGTATGAAAGGGGGACAAGACAGGAACACATTGTTAAAATAAATCATACTTTGATTATAGATACAGACTAGAAATGAGAGACAGAGATCAGGGCATTGGTCTATCCTCAGTGTTGCCATTGACCCTCTGTATTACTTAGAAAACTTAATAAAGCAGCCTGCTTTTCATGGATCCAAGGGACCCAGAGATCTCACTGAAGTTACTGAGATGTCTGTGTGTAAGGAGTGAGGTACCCAACACCTAGCTACACCAGCCTGTCTAGTCACATAGCAAGTCAGTAGCAGAGATGGGATAGACCTGTCTGTCTATCTTTTTTTTGCTTAAGTATTATATCACACAGTACGGCCATGTTTACAGTAGCTGTGCTGCAACTAGAAAATTATTACCAACCTTTTGGCTCAGAATGAAACTGTAATAGAAGCTCTTGGCTTTTCTAATAAGATTATGCAAATGAATGTAATGACTTTCTGATTGCTCATTTTTTGCCAATGTCTTTACTTAGTACACTTAACCAAGATCTTCTTTGGTGTATTTTTATATTTTATTTTTTAATAAGCCTCAGCACACAGACAGATATTAGCGAGTCTCCTAATGACCAGCTGAGTCCTAGCTAACTGTATTATTCTGAGGTTACATGAAGCATTATTATAAATGAGTATTTATATTGCAGTCCTCCTAGGCAGAGACAGCTCTCCCTGAAGAGTTTACAGTCTAACAAGGCATATATGAAAGATTAGAGGAGAGAGATGGAATGATTTTTTAAAAAGTAATGCATTTGCAATGGCTAAAAATAATTATAAATAGTGTCACCCACTGTCAGCCTCCAGCAAACTCTCTGCTATTAAATGGCTGATTATTTAGTTAGTCAATTCACTGGGGTAGACTGCACACACCAGTCAGCCTTTACACTCAGGCATGGGGTGTAGCAGGTCCCAACCACCTTTTAAAGTAGCAATTCATTCTCCCAAGACAAATAATTGCAGATCTCTTATTTTACTTGATTAGCAGGCTTATACCCTGCCTTTCCTCCACCTTTGTACCTGCAAGCCCACTGGCCTTCTCTTTCTTTCTCTGATCTCCTGAATCAACAGTGGGGTGAGAGGCAGCCCAGCCCACACTCTCCTTTTCCTTCTCCCTACCCCACCCCAGTCAAACCTATGGCATCCTCACCCTTCTGGTCCTCTGTCCCAGCCCCTCAGCAAGCCCACTGTCCTTGAGTAGGTGAACTCAAATGAAAACAGCATCAATTATATAAGCATTACCTGCAAGTGGTGGGTAGTTGCATCATACATGCCTCTGTACATGGCTATCAGCCTGGCGTGTTCATCCACCACATCCTCCCTCTCCTCTGCAAATGCCAGGATGGTACTCAATTGTGGCACATAGAGCAGGGCTGGGATTCGGTAGCTCCAAGGTCCCTTTTGGAACAATGTCTCTTGATGTAAAAGGGGAAGCAAGGCCATCAGGCTGTGAAAGCAAGAAGGAAAGTGTTGGGCTTTGCTCTACCTATGATATAGTATGAGTGATCCAGAGGGACTGGGCCAGATCCACCCATCTCCCACCAGCCTGAGCCCTCTTCTCCTTTAAAATATAGCTCTTGCACCCTGCTCTGATTTTGTTCCTTTCTCATGCCCCTCTGGACAAAACCCATCTATCATAATCCTAGATGTGCCACTGGCAATGCAGATCAGACTCATCCCAGGCTGGTTGGACTAGAATGAAATAAGTGCATTAAATAAATTGAATAAAAGGGGTTTATTTTTTAATGAAATTCACAGGCTGTTTTTGTTAAAGTCAGAACACTGCTAGTAACTAAAATGGACAATATTTTTCCTGAAAGACTAATTGTATTTTCCCATTGTTTCCAAAATCCAACATAGATGACTGAGTACAAATTCATTTGCTTGCCAACTGGTATCTTGGCATGCCCCAAGAGGCAAAGGTACTTGCCAAATGCAATCATTTGAGCCCAATTAAGCTGACAGATACTGAGACTGTGCTCAGCCCTAGCCCTACCCAATTTGAGGCTGCCAAGCCCTGAATGCTGCACAGGGAAAAGGGAAGGAGGTACTTTGTATTGCTCAACAGCAGCCACTCCAGCAGATTAAAGAGCAGAAATAACAGGCTACAAAGAATTGATTGTCAGCTGCATCTCAGGAACTTAGTTACACAAGACAAGGAACCTGAGGCAGGAAAAGATCATTTGGGAGAGAGTATCTTCAAAAAGCCAACCAAGGAAGAATGACCCACATCCTGCTCAGGAGCTTTCTAAACCAAAGAAATGGACTTAGAGCCCAGGCTCTGCTGGTCATGCTGGGGGAGGAGGAAGAGCTATCATCTTGTTGATTTGAGGGAAAGGCTAAGGAGACAAGAGAACATGAAGTGAATACCAAGGAGGCACAATTGGGAAGTCCCCTTCTATATAGCCTCCCTCCCTCCCCTGAGACTTGTAGGATGCTGCTCTGCCATTTGTGCATGTACAGCAAAGTGACAATTCCCAGTTCTCTCCCACCCCCAGCCCCTGCACTGCCTTTACCCTGGTACAATGCCATGAGTTTAAGGGAAGCAGAAGAGAGCCCTTGCTCTCTGAAGCATTGCGTGGGTGAGGTAGCAGGGCGAAGACAACAGTGAACTGTGAGTAAGAAATTCAAATTGCCTCCTACTTCCATGGGTTACTGCAACACTCTTAATTACGGAGCTTCATGTCTATTCATACACACATCTGGGGACTGCCACTGTGGCTCCTATTCCCATGGAAGACCATTTCTGAGGGTGTCTTGCTTTTCTGGAATTGTGTGTAGGTAAAGCAGAGATCTCTGATGAGGCTCCAGGGAGGATGCTTCATCCACCTCAAGAAGAGTAGGAGAAAATGACATTTTTCTGGTCTACAAGAGAGAAGATGATGATCTTAGCAGCTTGCGTAGTGTGGATTTCATTACACTTGTTACACTGATGAAGTGTCAGTAACTCGGTATAACTTTATTCTCTGCTTACATTTTATTACAGCTAAGCAGCTGATACATGCCTATCCTTTGCTTCTATTTTTCACACACTGCATACTTTTGTGAGAGTTCAGAATTAGCACTACCAGGCAAAAATAGCTTGCATGGTATTGTATTAATCTAAAACTGCCTGGACCAAGCTTTGCCAAACTACCACAGAGGCTGTGGAAACACAGTTCATTGGGATTTATGACACTGGAGAGGGAAGGGGCAAGTCCTGCCTCCCCATTCCTGAAGGGGCAGAAGTTCTCAGGTGCAGCAAAAATGTCCCCTGCACAGAAGGGTCAGAATCCAAGGGATTCATGCCACTGTTCTGCGCTGAAGCGCTTAACTCTCCCTACGCTAAGAATATGGAGAGTCTCACTAAGTATCCAAAGCCTTGTTACCTACATATACTGCATCCCTGTAGGGCTTCAGCAACAGAAAAGAGGGAGGGTCATTAAAGGGCTGTCTACCTATTTAAAGGGATATTATTCTGTTCTATACACTGAAACCTCTGTATGTTCTGTCGGATGGAATGGGACAGGAGAGGGGCCAGGAAATAGAACTGTTGCCTTAGGTACACGCCAGCTGATTGGAAGTAGACCTGTGAGAGGCTGAAAAAGTGGCTGCAGAACAGCTCTTCTGCTAGCAAGTACTCAAGGAGAGACTCTTGTAAAGAGACCAGCAACCAGCAGCACCCAGTTCTATTCTAAAAACTCCATCTTTGTGTAGCACTGACTGAAGGGCCCTGTTTGAGACGACTGTAGGTGTGTCTACACGTGTATTAGATCCGAGAGCAGTTTACTCATGAGTAAATGCTCCTAGGCAGGCTTCTACACGTGCAGGGAAGTGGAAGCAATAACAGTAAGCTGCTTTTTTTTTTTTTTTTGCTTTTTCATTGGCATGAATATGCAGCTGAATTGATTTGCCTCTTTTTATATATATAAATGCAACATATATATATACAAAAAAGGGGGGGAGGGGGAGGAAACAAAAGGATGAAAATAAAACAAACAATTCAGTAGCCTTCTTGATCTTTGACATGGATGAACTCTGCGAGGTCATGGAAGTGATGCTCTGCACAATGTACCATTTTTGTAGCCACTCTTTAGGTATTTTATACCTTATCAAAATTTTTGCTTTACTTTTCATAGTTGACATTACAATTACTTATAATAACAGCATTTTATAAACTTAGTAAAACACAATTACTACACAACACAGTCACGCTTGATATTTTTTTTGTACTCAGCAAACTTCTTCAGTGATGATTTAATCCTGTAAAATACAAGAACAAAAGGGAGGGGCTCACCCCTTTTGGTTGGTTTATTCTTAAGATCATACACTTGTGGCTGGCTTTGCTTATAGCCAGGTTGGCACTTATTCAAAAAATTATCCTTCTTGCACCTTGCAGAGGCTGCTTTTACAGCAGTGTTTTTCTCTTAAAATGGCAGGCATTTTATGCCACACATTTCTTTTTTGTTGCTTGCTTCAAGAGTTTTTCTGTTGGCGTATGCTCCCCTTAGCTTTTTGTCAATGAAGAATAACTCACACAGAGGTGGGAGCTAGGGTTTTAAGGCACTTTATATTTGCTTTTGCCTATTCCCTAGGGTGGTTATTATGCAGCATTTTGCAGAGCTTACCTTGCTACAGGTATCTTTACTATACTGACTACACCAAGGAGGTCATACTTAGGATTAAACTTTTTCACTTTCCTGCTTTGACTTTCTTTTATTTTTATAGGCACAGTCTCTGACTTTTGGGCTTTTTGGCCCTGCCTCAGGTCAATTGAGATTGCAGGGTCTCAGCTCTGGCAGCTCTAACAGTGATTTTTTCTCTGTGCCCCTTTTCTGGACTGCCAGATTACTTGGTCTTTTAAGGTCTTGCAGACTATTAGATTTTTCTCTCTGTAGCAACTTTTAGAATCCTAACATTTTTTTTAGGTTTCATTTAACTTTTAGTTTTTCTTTCCTTAACAGATCTTAACCATAACTTTTTTTGGGCTACAGGCTTCACAATTCATTTTTATCGGTGGCTCTTCATAAACTAATTCATTCGTCAAATTTTCCTCTTTTACAGCTATACAATTGAGCAAACTTCACTTTAGGACTAAGAAAATTCCCCCAAAAGGCCGTGGGTGACAAATTACACACTACACATAATCCCTTCAAGAAAACCCTTCCTACCCCAAAAAGAAACTTTTAAACTATGCCTCTGCAGAGAAAAAACAAAACATGCTTCTGATAAGCTTACTCCTTTTTCCCTGCTCAGAGTAACTTAAATTAATTCTGGCCACTGATTTCTGTTTGCACAGCTGTTAACAATCCTTATCTCTTTTAGGCTCTTCACTGTTCCTGGAGAATCAGGGGGGACAGAACCAAATTTCTCCTCTCACTTCTAATCACAAATTCTCTGCCACTGCTTGCACAGATGTTTAGTAACATACCTTGCTTCTTTCTGTGCTACTTTGCTTCTATTTTGTGATACACACGGGATTCTAGAGTGTCTCTTTTTACATTTCCTAACTGTTTTTGATCTTTTGTGAAGCTGTACTGCTTATATAACACTTTATCTTGTTATAACTTGCACTGGTAACTTACACTTTACAAACTTCACAGCAAACATGCACCTGCTTTTGTCTTTTCTCTGCAGATGGTTATAATTATTTTCTCCCAGGAACCATAGAGTTAAGGAACCCTGTTCATTCATACAGCCTTTCTAGCAGAGAGATGACTCTCTTTGCTTTCTAGCTTCCTATTGTAAACACAGCAGGAGGTTCTTACTTAATTCCAAGCAGACTACAGCATATACCCATGTCCACTACCCTGCCTACCTGGACACACAAAGTTTCCTGGTTAGCAGTAACAAACAACATGTCCTGCACAATACTTATAACTTCAGTTACTTCCTATATAACTCTACCTTACTACAAGTTTCAGTTAACCCTTCTAAAACAAATCACTCTGCATCAACAAATGCTCTGATTGGTCAGGTTACTACTCTTGTGTCCTGGTGAAGTTTCCAATTGTTGGACTGGATTTGGACCCAATACCTATACCTTTGTTTTGGACAGACACAACCCTCAGACTGACCACAATACCTGCCAGTTGATAATTGGTGAATTTGTTGATACGGAGCAAGAACAAAAAAGCAACAAGACAAACAATTAAACTATTCTATATCTACTAATCCTAGGCTGTCATCAGAATTAAGGTACAGCTGACCAGAAATGCAAGCTTCACTCTGAAGCATTCTGTCTTAGGTGTCAGCAGTTTGGAGGTGAAATCTTGAAATCCCTGCAGTGGGCCCACATTCTGTTTAACCCAACTCACAAGAAAAACACTGAGGTCACCCTGACCCCACACACAAAGAGGAAAAGTCTCTGAACCCACTGCCATGCTACTGGGGAACGGTAAAAGACGGGGTACAATAGCTGAGATGGCCCAAGAGAACCTAGTACACTCGAGGTGACCCAGGCCCAAGAGAACCCAGTACACCTGCTAGGCCTTACCCTGGTAGGATCGGGATGATCAGTCCCTTCCAAACGTGTGTTGAATCCTGCCAACTATGCCAAGATGTTAGACCCTGACTCCATGCAGCACCCAATGACTAGGGAGACGATGGTCCAATTACCTGTGGATCCTGTTACTCATTAGCCAGAGCAGAGCAGGGAGCAAACAACAACACACATTGTTTGCAACAGCTTTATTCAGAATGGAGACAGCTTTGGACACGGGCCTCACGCCATAAGAGACAGGGTCCTGCCCTGAACAATGGGTTCATCCTACATTTATACACTTTGGTTTATACTCATTAACATTCACTCCTCCTTCATCCCACCTTCTGTTCCACCCATTTCTCTTCCCATCTTAAGCTCTGCCTATATTTACTGTTTGCTTCATTAGCATGGAATTGCCTATGCACTTCATTCATTTATATGCCTTTTTGCTATGAACGCATGTCTAAGGCCATGAACCCTCTTCTTTTGGTCAATGGGCAGACTTTGACCAAAACCTGGAAGCTTCTGGAGGCTTCTTCACCAATCACCATTCACCTTTTTGCATATGTTCATCTCCGATTCTGTTACCAATTACATGTCGTTTTTCACATTCCAGTCTGTTTTTCTGTCTCATGTTGTACCATCTTCCACCTTTTTTTGGGCCCCTGTATCTTATCTCATTCCTTACTGTAGCTGGTTCGCAGCACACAGACTTAATTGCTGCTTTTTCCAGAAAAAATGGTTGACACAGTTAAAATGGTTACTTAGCATAAGCAAATGGCAGGCTTAGCTATCATTTTGCCTTGTGGTCAGCAGCTTTGCTAGGCCACAGGTCATGCCTTGTATTCAGCTGCAAATCCAGTGCTCTCTAAGATCCAAATATTGTCACCCTAACAATTCCCACCTGGGCTCCAGTGTTGGAGCCTGCCCTGGAAGCAGGCAGTTCCCTGGGGCAGGGAGCAATCTTCTGCTCCCTGCTAGCTGGCTGACTGGGGGCAGATTTGGTTCTGATCAGGCATCTGTGTAAGCGCTACTGCACAGTAACTAATCACAAGTAAATTTGCTACTTGTATTTGCAGGTAGCAAATTTACTCACAATTAGAACAGTTTACTGCACAGTAAGCATATGCATGTGTAGACATGCATGCTAACTGCATAGTAAACTGCTCTACTGGACAGTAAAGTGTCTCATGTAGGCATACCCTCTGTGGATAAACTTGCTGCTGAATTGCTGTTCTCCCCTCTTCTACCCAATGATCATAGACCCTCTGGGATGAATGTCCTCTTAGTGCAGGAGCCCAAACATTCTCCACCTGGGGGTCATGACCTGCCATCCTATCCTGCATTTACGAAGTGGAAGGGAATCCTAATCTCTAAGAAGAGGGTGTAAGACAGAAAAGGCTGAGAACAGCTGCAGTACTAAAAGTATATACAGGGTGACTGGACAGCATCATAATCAAAGTCTTTCCCATATACCAGTGATTCTCAACATTTTTAGATTCAAGACACCCCTTGATAGACACAAACACTCCTCTGAAAATGTCAGCTTTT